AGTGTCGCTACGCGCAGCTTAGCGCCGAGACACTACCAGTGTCTCCAGATATTATAATTTATAAAATTCTGCACTTTAAAAAATATCGATGTGGATTTAAAATCCCTGGTGTTTATATCAATACCATAATAATGTGAATTTAAAACACATGATGTCAAAACATATGTTAGTGTTAATATTAACAAATTTTATCTCCGTCTCTTAAAAAAATATTTTTTATTCGATATTAAATCTTTTATTAAAATCTATGGGTTATAAAAATTATTATAAATGCACACTCTAAAAAATATTGAATTGTTCGATTTCTAGGTAGTAAAAATAATTCCAATCGAGGCAGTAGCTTCTTTCCACAAAATCAGAAATCGAAAGAGAAGACCAATCCAATTCTTGGACCATTTCCTAAAGGTAAACGATAATACCAAACCATTTCTAATTAAATTCTTACATTTAAAGATAAAATTCAGAACAACGCGAACGTTTATTAACAATTGTAGGAAAAACAGGATTGGTAGAGCGTTCCTCATTAATAAAACATTCTACACACAAAGTTAATCAAGAAGACGCGCAAAGAATGCAAAACGCAGAACGTTCCAGCACAAATAGCGACAATCAAGCCTTTTTAAATGATGCAAGTATTCGTAAACGTTATATTAAAAACAAATAATCATGCTTAATTTTACGGTTTTTCGGTGGAATTTGTAGGTGGTGACGCAAGTGTTGGCTGGCGAAGGTGTTGGTTGGCTCAAATTGAACAGATTAAAGAAATTAATGGAGGATGAAAATTATCGGGATTTAGTTGTAACGAAGCTAAATAAGGGTCTTAATAGGAAGATTAGTCCGAACGATCACATTGACGATGTGGTAAATTTTAAATATATCTTAATTAGATAGGGATTATCTCAAGTACTATTATTAAACTTATTTGACATTTTTCTGCCTCGAAATAAATAGATTACTGTTCGATTATTATGTGTCTGCTTTAATTCCTCACCAGGCCATATCAAAGCCCGTGTATAAGGGAATGTTAAAGTGCCTTCAAGCAATAACACACGGTCTCGCGCATACGTATAATAATTTTGGACTAGGCGGGATGGCGTCTGTCTTCCAACTGATGGAAATCGCTCACACACATTACTGGAGTAAAGATCTGTCCGAAGGTAGCGGCTTCGACAGCTCTCTGATGTCGCAGGTACAATAAAAAAAACACTCTTTTGATGTAGCATAATTCAAAATTCATCTTTTATTTTTTAAATACTTTTATATTATGTGTATATGTGTATATTTGTTCGATGATGAAAGAAAGCTCTCATTTCGCAGGCGTCTAGCCCATTCGGTAGCAGAGAAAATCTAAAATCCCCGCAATCCCCGAATCAACCTGACTTCATGGATCCTACGCAAAAATCGGGTACATCTTTGAGTACACTATCGATAAAAAATTTCTATCAATTCTTAATTTATTAAGATATATTTTTTATTGAAAATTTTAATATTTAATGTTTTTAATTATTCAATATTATCGCGATAAATAAGATTAATTATTTCATATAAATAACCTTGTTAATTTTGGAATGGACATAGAATTAATTGATGAAAAAAATGTAACTCAACAATTTAAATAAATATACAATTATACAAAAATAAATACACAAAAATTAGTAATTAATTATTTTTTAAAAATATTAGAACTACCGCAAGTGCATTTGGATGCGCCACAGGCACCACCGGCGGGGGATACAAGCCAATCGACAACGGACATGTTCCTGGACATGTTCACAAAGAAAGGGAAATTTCTAAGCAAGCTCACTTCATTCGACTCGGAGGTAGAAAGAATTTTTTAAATATACAAATGTATTTCGATATCCTAAGCTCAAATTTCAAGTTGGTTAGTAGTCCTACTTGTGGGTGTCGCAATGATCCTGCAGGCGCGACCAATATAATTGTTAAAACTGGTAAAAATACATCTCCTCCCCCCGTCCTAAAACAGACGAGAAATACTACTTCTTTTCTTTTTTTATTAGAGAATGTATTATTCGGCCTGGCAGTTTCTTTGACGGTCCTTTTAAAGCTAGTAAACGTGAAGAAAGAAAAAAAGCATCACAAAAATGCTCAGTTTTCGATTGTAACATGCAACGCACACGTGTTTTGTCATGTGTTTTTTTAGAGTGGGCGGGGTGGTGGAACGGGGAGCAGCGAAGCTTTATCCACTGACGGAGGTAGCATTATCACTAATCCTGCTTTTCGGCAAGCGCACCAAGCTTCCTTCCGAAGCACCGTGTCTGATAGCGAGGTCGAGCAAGGCAATGTAAATTATCTTGAATTAATATAATCTTACATAGTTGTTAGATACATCTGGTAGAGAGCAACGCACACATCGCTAGTAGCACCGTCCATTCCCGTAAAATAAATGCCCGACAACGCAAAACTCATTGGAATGTCTGTTAATCGCGCGTTAACAATTTCAAATTGAATTGAACGGTTAACACGTTCTTTAGGAGAAAGAGTCCTTAGACTGACTCGAATGTGTAACATATATCTATATCGCACAACAGAAACTTTTCGTAGTTTCGAATTCTCGAGTTACATCGATATCTCGGCATTCATCAGACAGGAACACTGGACGCTGACAAATCGCATAGAGAATCATTATCGAAGGGTAACAATGTCGCGTTCCACTGTAATTTAAATTATTATCATATTAAAAAAAATCAATGTCTTGTTTGTGATGTTACTAGGTTTCTTCCGTGATTTTCGTGCGTGTAAGCGAGCTACTCTTTGACTTTAGAAGGTGGCATCGTATTGCAGTTAGCTAGATGGAATGCTCTAATCTCTATAATCTCGACGAATGTTGATAGAAGACATTGACCAATATTCATAATCGGTTTTTATTTTAAGACCATCTTAAAATAAATAATGTCTTAAGATGCTAATACGATTTATGCAATCTTGAGACTGTACTTAAGGTCTTAAACATAAGAATTGACTATGAATACTGGTCATAATTTTGGACTGTTTCATTAAAGTCTTCATGATTTATCATCAAAGATTATCTCTGAAACGCTATTAACTTCACTCTTACACGGTTCTGTGATTTCAGTTTCCTCGACAGGGCAAACAGCGTTCCGGCAGCGTCTGGTCCAGCAAGTCGTCTTTAAGCACCGGATTCCGGTATCACGGTGGAAGTTTAATACCTACCACAACGTTACCAAGTCCGGAGACTGCGAGAACGTATCTCTTTGAAGGTACAATAGAAGCATGTAATAATTTACAAGTGATATCTAAAGATGGACGATTTTCTCGTCGATATTTTATTATCATTTTATTATCGCAATTTTCACTCTAGGTTTAGTGGGGAAGGACAGATCGTCTCTATGGGACGAAATGCAGTTCTGGGAAGACGCCTTTTTGGACGCCGTCTCGCAGGAACGCGACATGATGGGCATGGATCAAGGACCCGGAGAAATGGTAGAGAGGTAAAAAATAACCAAACTAAAACGAGTGAAAATTACATCAAAAGAACAATTTTGTTGTATTATCTAAAAGTGCTAGATACATATCTAAAAATAATTTTGTTGGATTATCAAAATAATTATGCAGAAATCTCAAGTATGATGAGTGATGTTGCAAAAAGTTTTAGTATTCTAGCAATTAGTTTGAACTTTCTACATAATTAATGGTCTGGAAAATTAATTTCAGATCTATATTTAGCTAAATTTTTAAGTATTTTAGCAAAACCAATTTTTCCTTATGGAGATAGCCACACATAATCTTCTTCAATTGATTCAAAATTAGAAATTGAAAAGTTTTATATGTATAATGTTGAATATATTAATCATATATGTATACATATATGAATATAATAAAAATTTTTTTTAATTATTATTAAAACACGTTGCGGGCGTGATACAGATACAAGAGTTTAAGTGAGAGCGAAAGACGAAGATTGGAACACGAGGAGGACAGACTGCTGTGCACTTTGCTGCACAATCTCACCGCCGTTCTGGTGATGTTAAACGCTGATAAGAACGAGCTGAAGCGGAAGGTACGCAGGCTGCTGGGCAAGAGTCACATCGGCCTCATCTACAGCCAGGAACTGAATCTACTTCTCGACCAAATAAACAACCTCGTGAGTATCGGTCGAGCGACCGGTTAACAATCGCGACGCGCTAAGAACGTGGACCTTCTTCTTCTACAGCACGGAAACGACATCGACCTGAAGCCCTTAACATCCCGGCAAATGCACCGGCAATCGTTCACCGTGCACTCGGGGGTCGACGCCGAGGGCGACCTGCGCTTCCTCGAGGTTCGCCACGATGGCCTTGTGCTGAGATCGGTGAACGGCGTAATAGTCGAGCGATGGTGGTATGAGCGCGTGGTCAACATGACCTACAGTCCGAAAAATAAGGTTCTATGTTTGTGGAAGAAGAGTGGCGGCGATACTAAGTTACACAAGTATTATACTAAGAAGGTAGGAAGAATCCTCAGAAAAATCGAACAAGGGAAATTCAAATAACGAAAATTAAATGAAAAAGAAATGTTCCGTTCTGTCGCATAACGGTTGCAAAAATGCAATCTGAATTTTTTTTGGCACAAACAAAATTTCATTCTTAAATTTCTTCAAAATAAAGGAGAGTAAAGTCTTAAAATAATTGAGAAAAAAATTTAGTAATATAATGAAAATATTGAAAAATAACCATTGAATTTTTTCACATTCTTTGAAAGTCTAATAATAATAGGCTTTGGGGGAGGGGGAGGGGCGGATCTCTTTGAATCCATCAACGACATTCAGGCACGGTCTATTGTAACTCTTTGAAAACCTAGGAACAGTAAAAGAAATTGAACTGAAGACTCAGATTGCAGATTGAAGAATTACAAATGTGATTGCAGACGATTATAGGCGCAATCTCGTAAAGTTTTAGACAATTTGGAGAAAATAACCATGAATTCCAAATTGATTGATGGGCGAACAGTCGAGATCAATTAGAGCTGCGTGCTGCACACTTTTGACGATAAATAAACGTCAACGATCGTTTCTTCCAGTGTAAGGACGTGTACTACTGCATTAAGGATGCAATGGAGAAGGCAGCAGCTCGCGGACGAGGCGTGAACGTGGCGAACGAGCTCGGCGGTGAGTTTCCGGTGCAGGATATGCGAACGGGCGAGGGCGGACTTCTGCAGGTCTGCATGGAAGGCGTCGGTCTCCTCTTCGCGAATAGCAAGGTATGACTCGCACTCGCGTAAAAGCCACACATTCCTTACGCTGTTATCAGAAAGAATCGAGAGCTCGACTCTCCTTCTCACTTTCTCTTTCTTTCTCTCTCTCTTTTTTTCGAGGATTGCGCATATTTCTATATCTATATACCCCTCTTACATTCTACGTTCAATTGTTTGTATCATGTTGGATCGTACATATTTATTGAGAATTTTGGTTTGAGGATTACGTATCACCTTATACCTTCGACCGTACTCCACGTCTCAATTATATTACATTACGATCTTTCTAGCTATCAATTTCTAGCTGTATCATTTATTTTTTACGACGTGTCAATGCATATAATAATGCATTTATTTCAGCGAGATTAATTATACGTTAGAGAATGTATTATACTACAACGAGACTGAGTTGTAGAAAAAAAATATCCTTTGTTTTGGCTCAATGATCGCGATCTGAGGTGACATTAATGCTAGCTTTGATACTCGTCTCGTAACGTTGAACGGGCAATCCGATATTAAATAGTACTTAAAAGGAGGCATTGATTAATTAAATTAAAAAAAAGAAAACGTCAACGTTGTTGCTTTAGTAGGATTGAAAACCTCGTCGTCGTTCAACCACTGTCTTTTTGACCACATGTTCTCTTAATCATCGATCTCTTCCTCTTTTTCTCTTTCTCTATGTTTTTTTTTCATTATTGCATTGATGCAAGGACCACTCAATATTATCTCCCACTGCTAGCCACTACGATCTGCTTAATTGATTTGTATCTTTGTACGTGATTCATCGCGTCTATGTGGAAGGACAAGTCGGGCTCGTCAGGTGGTTTAACTGGCGAACTTTCAACCCAATATACATTCTAAAATCCGTGCGAAAGTTATTTTGTTGATTTACAAAGAAATCCGCGAGAATTCACACTTGCAAAGACACATATCGGTACGAAACTAGAGAGATTCTACGGAAGAAATGAAGAGATATAGAAATAAACATCTTACACACTTCGAAAAGGAACACTACAGCATAACTACGCAGCATAATACATTTACAGAATGTTACAATCAATCGTGTTTCTCTTTTTTTTAACTATATAGATTTTGTTTGACTGATGAGTCAAGTTTTCGTCATGAAAGTATCAATGTGTTATTTTACAAATTATATACAATAGACAATGGAAGATTTCCTTAACTCTAGATTCCGTTAATATGGCAATTCGAATTTAATTTTCAAACTTGGAATCAAACTTGAGATATCTTATGTAAAAAAGTTCTTAATAGCGAAAAATTAGCTCAAAATTAATTTATGAATCTTTAACTAAAAGAGAAAGCACGCTTGAGCTGAGGCATTCTTTATTTGCGCATCTGAGTTCGAAATATGATCCATTTGTTAAAGAATCTTCAATCTTTTCAATCTTTTTTTAGTAATATTTAAAATGCATATTTTAATTTGAATAAAAAAATTATGATGTAAATGGATGGTAGTTTTTAAGAAAATTTACAAATAATGTAAAAATTTACAAATTACGAATAAACGCAGTAAGTGGATCCTATCAGGAATCAGATCATCTCCAGATGCATACACATACATACATATAACGCGTCGCATACATCCATATACAACTCTTTAACGAGAAAAACAATTGTTCTGCTCGTCATTAAGTATTTCACGGTATTTCATTAATCGAGAGTTCCGTTTAATCGCGATCGTTCCCGTATGAGATTTACTTGATATAATTTCGGTTCCGATATCCTCTCGGTTATTTTTACTGGATAATATTGTGTTCACAGGCGTTATATTAATCAATGTTTTCTTGCATGGAAGCTCGATGTGCAGTTGCAGACTTTTTATCTGTATTATATATAATTATATATATTACATATTTATATATCCATTACATTTATATTATATATAAATATATATACAGACTGTCTTTTGAACATTATACTCCTATATCTTATCATTTGTATTGAATGTTGGATGCTATTCTATTTTTTCCATAAGTCTAACAACTTCTTTATCTGTCGTGGTCATGCGCGAGGAAAGTCTATTCGCGTTCGAGACGAGAGAGAAAAAAATACAAAGAAAAGAAAGATGATGCAACAAAATCGCGGACGTTACACAAATTGCTGTTTACCGGCTACTTATTCTACCGCGACCGAACCGCGACCGATAAACGCTCGCGGCTATCGTTATATATCATACATTGACAGAATCTCGCGCGAATGACGAAATACCCGTAGGACATTATACCCGGAATCCGAGCATTCGATTCGGGTAATCAGAATGATAGACTTTTCTCAGCTTGGGGAACTTTTGAGATGGTCCTTGAACAATGAATATACCTTTGCTGTTTATCGATTTGGCCATGACGTTAGGTGATAAAAGCGTAGCTGTAATATCATCGTGTACAGCTGTATCTCTCTTCTCTCTCTCTTTCTATATATATATGCTATACATATTCTATGACTGAGTGGATAACTGCTGTTACCAAAGATTTTAATTTTCTGTTTTTCTGTTTTCTGTTTTCTTGTCCCGTCCATCGACATTGCCCTACGGCTGGGTAAACAGGATTTCGAGGTATCAAATCAAAATAAGTCATTGTTTGTTATATAAATTCAGTATATGACTATATACTCAATGTTGGCCGTGTTCCGGAGATGCTTATTTATTTTCACCATTACTTTTGGCCGTATATATTATTATTATATATACCATTATACTATATATATCTACCTACATTCTTAAATTGCATTCGAACTCACTGATCTGCTCTGTCTATCCTTACTGTCTTTTCTACGATCGATCGGTGTTAGTTGTAATATATATATATATACACGCATATATATATCTCTCCGTAATGATATGACATGTATATCGTAAAGCCGATACCTCTCCAGGTATCCAGTAATGAACGATGAAATGCAGAACAGTGTTTGCCGCATTGATAAAAAATCCGACACAAAATATACTTTATATATTGTATATCGTTTAGATAAAATATTTGTAAGTAGTGTTTAGTGCAACTTGTAGAGAGCGATGTTCGATGCACACACAATGCAACTATATATATATCTATATAGCCTAATCACTCGTACATAAAAGTTCGTACACAAAGTCATTGCGTCACGATCATCATTTACAGCTTTCACGTTTTACACACTGTATCTCTCAGTCGCGACTGAAAAAGCTCTTTGAGAAGCTCGTTTTACCGAAACTGTCGTTACCGTTACTAATTCATTCGACATATGATCGAATCGTGATAAAAAAAAGCGTGCTGTCGATTTCATCAAAAATCGATGACAAACATCTCGGCTATCTATCTTTATTCGAAAGTAAATTCTGTGTCCTCTGATTTCTTTCTTTTATTTTATCTTTCAATGGAATGAGATTAAGAGAATTCTAAATCGCAAGTAAGGCGTTAATTCATTGAGAGTCGATCTGTATTCGTAATCTGTAGAACGTATCTCGTATGACTTGCAAAAGCTATTTTTTACATAAGATTTCGGGATGCAAATCGTTAATTACGCATATGTATCAGCAAATATATACCCGTAATATATCAACATTTTCCTCATTTATGTCGAACACGAAAAATTGGATGTGATATTTTAAGAAACGTAAAGATATCAAAACTGCACGGTTACTCACAAATGGATGACGCTACTCAAGAATAAGAGAATAGTATGAAAAAAGATGAAAATTTAATATGCTTAAAATTCTCTTGACTGATTTTTGCATCCGAATTTTTCTGTCCGGACCGCGGGAGGATTCACTGTGTCTTTTTTGAGATTCGAGCAGCTCTGCAGAAAGAATAACGAAACAGTTATTTCGTGAAGTCGCTTCAGCATATATTCTATGCTGAAGTGATTCTTCAGAACTCCAGATTTTTTATAGGTTTCTTGAGAAATTACATAATATTAATCCTATTAGTAGTCTGTTTAAAATTATTATACAATCATATCGTTTGATTCAATATGATAATTAAAAGGCTTTAAAAAATGCAGAAAAAATACATTCTAGACGAAGTCATAATATACCAGCGAGAAATTATTTTATTTTTAAATAAACTATTGCTAAAAAAATTAATTCTATTTTTGGTGAAATAGATCCGAACAGACCAGCAGGGTGAAATAAAAACGAAGGAATCCGCGATTTACATGCTCGTGATACATACATCGCTCGGGTCTCCACTCATTCTACACTGGTAGTTTACGTAGTAGAGCAATGGTTTCTCATGCTGTCTAGTGATGCTGTCTCCTGTGAAAAAAGAAAACATTGTGAAAACTGTGAATTTCGCGCGAGTCTCGACCTTCTCGCCACGATATTATTACACTTCTCTGGCATGGCACTGCTAACATAATATGTTTCTTGTTTACGGCATTGTACTGATTCCGATATTGTACTGATTCACTCCCTAAGAAGTGACATTTATTTACCGTCATACTTCCCTTTTTTCTCGATTTCTCTTTACTACCCCCCC